TGGCATTGTCCCCACTTCTTTCAAATCAGCTGTAATCAAACCACTACTCAAAAAACCTACTCTTGATCCTGACGTTCTCAACAACTTCAGACCAATCTCAAATCTCCCTTTCATCTCAAAGGTCCTTGAAAAAATAGTCTCCAGTCAACTCACTGATCACCTTTCACGCAATAGCCTCCTCGATCCTTTTCAATCTGGTTTCAAACCACTACATAGCACTGAGACTGCCCTCACCAAAATAACCAATGACCTTCTCCTTGCATCTGACTCCAATTCTTCTTCACTTCTCATTCTCCTAGATTTAAGTGCAGCTTTTGATACGGTCGATCACAACATTCTGCTAGATCGTCTGTCCAATCACGTAGGCATCCATGGTACTGCACTTTCCTGGTTACAATCATATCTGAGTGACAGAAAGCACTGTGTCTCATATAAAAACACTACATCCATATCCTCCTTAGTGCAGTTTGGCGTACCACAGGGATCTGTCTTGGGTCCCTTACTCTTTTGTATATACTTACTGCCCCTTGGTGACATATTTCGTAGATTTGGCATTAACTATCATTGTTATGCCGATGACACGCAAATTTACATTCCACTTACACCTGACAATCAATCCCAAATTACAAATCTTGAATCCTGCTTAGCTGCTGTTACTCACTGGATGTCACAAAATTTTTTACGACTGAATGCCAACAAAACCGAACTACTAATCATAGGCCCGAGCACCCAACTACCACTCCTCACTGACCTTAGTCTAAACATTGATAACTGTGTTGTCACCCCAAAATCAACAGTTAAAAACCTTGGTGTGACTTTTGATTCATCTCTGTCCTTCGATGCTCACATCAGGGAAATCACTCAGACAGCATTTTTCCATCTACGCAACATCTCAAAGATCCGTCCCCTCCTAAATACCTCAGATGCAGAAATCCTAGTTCACGCCTTTGTTTCATCTAGACTAGATTATTGCAATATCCTCCTCTCTGGCCTACCGCAGCGCAGCACAAACAAATTACAACTTGTTCAAAATGCAGCAGCCAGGATACTTACCAAAACCAGGAAATATGAGCACATAACCCCAGCTTTAATCACTCTCCACTGGCTCCCGATCCAGTCCAGATCAGACTTCAAGCTGCTTTTACTCACCTACAAATCTCTTCATGGCCTAGCACCCCCATACTTATCCGAACTAATCACTCCATACGTTCCAGCACGTGCTCTCCGTTCACAAAATGGTAACTACCTCACAGTCCCCAAAGTTCACAAAAAATCAGTAGGTGGTAGAGCATTTTCCCACCATGCCCCACTTCTCTGGAACCGGCTCCCCCAACCACTAAGGGATGCTGAATCTGATACTGAATCTGATGACATCTTTAAATCAAGACTAAAAACCTATTTATTTTCCCAAGCATATGCCACAACTTGATAGCACTTTTTTTTATTGTATTTTTTAATTGTTTTTTTTTCTTTGTAAATAATTGTGCTTATCTGTAAATTGTATTTTTCTAATGTATTTTGTCTATGTGAACTGTAAAGTGTTTCGAGACCATGTTTATGGTGATTTTACACTTTAAATAAAGCTGAATTGAATTAATGGCCAGAGAAGTGTTTTTGTAGAACATTATGATGTCACAGTAAAGTTGACCTTTGACCTTTTAGGATATAAAATGTCATCACTCCATCATTTTACCCTATTAGACATTTGTCTGAAATTTTGTAATAATTAGCTTACAAATTCTTGAGTTATGGCCAAATAACCTGTTTTGTGAGGTCACAGGGACCTTGACTTTTGATCATCAAGCACCAAATTCTAACCAGTTCTTCTTTGAGTCCAAGGGGATGTTTGAGCCAAATTTAAAAAAATTCCGTCAAGGTGTTCTTTAGGTATCCTGTTCTCGAGAAAGGGACATACAGACAGACGCACACATTGACAGATGTACATACAGATGGACAGACCCACAACCTGAAAACATAATGCCTTGGGCCACAGCTATTGCTGGCGTGGAGGATTAAAAAGCCCTTGAAGGTATGTTGTTGTTGGGGGAGCTCCCCAGTGGGCAGTTCCTCTTAGAGGGTTTCCAGAACTGTTGGGCCCGAAAACACCTTTTGTCTGTCTACTGTGTGGTTCTGGGCAGGTAGTCGGGCTTTTGTGGTTGACAATGTAGTTGTTAAGAGCAGAGTTTGTGGGCCAGACAACCAAAACAATGTGCTAAAAAGGGCTAAAATACAGCATAAAACTGAGACAAAAGTATTGGTCGGTAGTTGATACACCCAGAATACATTTTCTCAATTCAGATTTTAACTAGCCAGGCAAATTGCATCAATTTGATTCAAGTTCTGTTGTTGCAAGTCATGCCATCAAAAAGTCTGGAAGCTATTTCACAGGGATGATTACTGTATCAACAACATGGTGTATATATTTACTACAGCAGCACGACAAGCCAAGGTCATGAATGAAAATATTTGACATCAGTGTCTGCAACTATAATTCAGTTTCATTACCAAGGCAGGTTTATCGCTGCTACGAATGAGATAAAACACACTCTCCGTGCTGTCTTATTACGACTGGTGCTATGACACCATATCAGCGATGTGATCGATGGGGAGAAAATTCACCACCAAAGACGTCAGAGGCCATTTACATTTAAATGAGGGTTGGGTTTGCTAATTAGCCCCAAAATGGCGGCAGAGACAGATGGGGAAGAGAAGTGGGTCCTTTCAGATTACATTTTTCCAGCTGTCGAGGGCCAGCGGGAGAGGATGAGGTGACAAATATTAATATGAGAAAGGCGACTGCAAACACTCTACAGCCCAAGAAATACCACAATCAAAGTGAATATGGACTATTAGTTCCTTTTCCTCTCACTATTTTTCTTATTTAGCAAGAGAGAAGACAGAAATCAATATTGTGACAGATGCTTCAAATTACACAGGTAATGGCAATAAATACCTCCAAGCCTACAGTCTAAAATTTAAGGATATCAGTTCTCCTACGCTAAATTGTAATGATCCGTTCTCATAGCCTTGGTAAGACGATAAGAAGAAAAATTAAATAATGTCAAGTATACTCCCAATCAGATGAATTCCTATCAATTTCAGAGTTACCCATCATACTCATTTTCCACTTTTTAACTAAATAAGTTGTACAGCATTGAAACTTTTTCTCCCCAGACAGACAGCCATTTATTTGAGACTTGCTTCAATGTCTTCTCTCAATCCCAGAGCCACTTGAACGTCTCATAACAACGAACAAAGTGCAAAGTGAATGACTAAAATTAAAGCAGTGACAAAAAGAGCTCCACTCCCTGAATATTTATGAGAATGAACAATTTGTATGATGTAAACAGTTAACATAAGATAACAGAGGCATGGGACATTCTGTCTTAAAGGGAATTATCATTTGTTTCAAGAAATATTTTAAAATAACTATTTCTTGGTTCAGCTAAATCTAACTAAACGTCTAAAGTGATGGTTAAAGGGACAGTTCACCCCCAAATCAAAAATACAGATTTTTCCTCTTACCTGTAATGTTATTTATCCATCTAGATTGTTTTGGCGTGAGTTGCTGAGTGTTGAAGATATCAGCCGTAGAGATATCTGCCTTCTCTCTAATATAATGGAACTAGATGGCACTCGACTTGTGGTGCTCAAAGCACCCAAAAAATTATATTTGAAAACCTCAAGAGCAATGTGTCTTTCCAGAAATCATGACCTGGTTACTGGAGATCATCCACAGACCTTGTTGTGAGCAGTTTCATGTAGGAACTATTTTCTTTCTACCGCACTACACTGCACAGAAGGAAGCATGCATCTACTGCTAACTCACCTAGCATCACTGAGCTAGCTAACGTTACAGAGAGGACACCATTATGTTTACATCTCGCACTGTCATGATCACAAGCATCTCGTCCATGAGCAGATGCACAGTTTCTTCCGTGCAGTGATATTGTTAGCCGGTAGTCCAATAGAAAGAAAATAGTTCCTACAGGAAACTACTCACAGTAAGGTCTGTGGAATAACTTAAGTAACCAGCTCAGAGAGCCATCTAGTTCCATTATATTGGAGAGAAGGCAGACATCTCTATGGCCGATATCTCCGACACTCTGCAACCATCACCAAAACAATCTTGACTGATAAATAGCACTACATGTAAGAGGAAAAATATGTTTTTGATTTTGGGGTAAATTGTTCCTTTCAGGTAAAAGTGTTTACAGCTTTTAAAAACAGCCACACTCAGAGGTGCCATCATAGAGAGGGGTGACTTTGCACAACCCCTCTAGTATTATAATTAGGTTTAACACAGCTGAAACCACTTTAACTAGGGTATCCATTTGATGTTCATTCTCCTGCCTTTTGAAAGGAGGATAAGCATATTTCAATCAAGTCAAACCAAGCTTCGTTAGTCTTCGTTACTTTGCTCATTAGCTAAGTTCACTGCATGGTAATAATGAGCATTATAATTTTTTGCCAGCTGAGGCAAAGCTAGTGCAGACCTGGCCTGGAAATTCCTTTTAATGTCCATCTTTCTTTCATGATTACAAAACTGTAAAGTTAATCAAAAGACAGCAGGAATGGTGTAAAATGTAAAAAGAGAACTCTTGGATAAGTTCTGAGTGAATTCTTGACAGAACCACTGCTCCATTACAGCACACAAGCATCTTGCATCTGAAAACTTTCAGCCAGTCCCAAACCTCATGAACATAGGGGAGGCTGGAAAGTAGATTAGCTTGTAAATTGAGAACTTTGCTTTCAGGTTCAGACAATCCATTCAAGATATCAAGATGACCACCATCAGCCCATTTAATTGAAGCAGATGAGATCTGTTCTGTTTCATTGAGGATTTTTTTTGCTCCCAGTAACAGTTGTAAAAATTAGATTCAGGATTTGCATCTAGCCAATACATCATCTGTTTGATGAAGACACTATCACCCATGTACAGCCCAAATGTACCAGATCAGTGCATCTAAAGGTAGTAGGGGTCTGTTTTTGTGCATTACCTTATCTATGTGTGGGTGCCAGTACTCATCATGTTGGGTCTTGGCTGCCGTGCTGTTGATTCTGGAGAAGAAGGTGGGCTTGGTGAGGTACATCAGACTTGGGTCCAAACCAAACGTCTCAGCAATAGCTGTCTGGATTCGCCCGCGTACATTTCTAACGGTGAAAAACAGACCCAACATGTCAGATTGAAAGATTTTACTCAAGTTTTTAAAAAGTAAGTTTGGTATATTTTAACCCGGACCCTATTTTCCAATGTTTTTGTGTCTCAGTGACTAATAGGAATAACAATTCTTGAAACTGGTCCAGTATTGAGTGAGAGGCAGTAATGTAGCTATCCGGTAACACTGTGTATGACAACTTATGAAAGGGTTTCCCACAGAGGTCAACGTTTTTGTTAAGGAGCAAGATCCTTTTTGTTAACCAGAAACAGACCCAAAATCGCCATTGCCAAACCCACCAGACTCCATCTAAGTCAACAGTAATTTTAGCATGTATAGAGCCAGCATATTTTCACATCTAACTGGGTGAATTAAGGGCTTACTTCAACCAAACCAGAGTTGGTAATTGTTGTAACAGTGAAAGATAAATCAAAATGGCTTTTGTGAGCTGTATTTTGTTTCCAACGACTTTGAATGAAGTGTGTTTTACAATGATAAAATTATTGTTTGTGTAAATGGAGTCTGGTGGGTTTGGCAATGGTGATGGTGGGAATGGTGGTTTTGAGGTGGATCTTAATCTTGAACTAAAAGGTCTATCAGTGTAGGGATTCTTTCCATAATGTTGACATACAGTTACACTATTTTACCACCGAAATTGGTGCAGTTTGTTTTTTTTAAACACAACCCCCCACAACATCTTTTTTTTTTTTAGATCTCTGATTCAGTCTATTAAACTCAGGGCTGATTAATTTGGAGCAATGTTTGAGGCCTGCCTGGGTGGAGACAGACAGGATTTTCTGGCAGGTTATCAATGCAACAAATTGGCAAATGGGCTAAAATAAGCGCATCCACCAGGGTGTCACATTTCCATCACTGCCAATCGCAGCTGGAACCGATAAATACCCGTGACTACTACAGAGTCATTTGACATGTTGGGTTTTTTGTGCAGTGAGAAAGGGGCTTTAGAACAATAATCTGGGCATGTCAGTGGCAAAAACATGCAGTTATAGTGGATGTACATTGATAGCGCACAAATGCCTGAGTGGTTACATTGCAGCTTGAATCGGGGCTGCAGACTGCAGCGTTCTCCCTCAGTACTGGAACAATTTCAAAAATTGTTGTTCCCATTATTCACTTAGACACAAAATCACTGCCATCAGGGAATTTCTGTAACTCTCAATGAGACTTCTGCACCTGTCGACAGGTATTTTGGCCCACTCCTCATGAGCAAACTGCCCCAGCTGTCTTAGGTTTGAAGGGTGCCTTCTCCAGACTGCATGTTTCAGCTCCTTCTACAGATGTTTTGTTCTTAGCCATTCTTGGGTGTTTTTAGCTGTGTGTTTTGGGTCTGTTGAAGGACCCATGACCTGCGACTGAGACCAAGCTCTCTGACACTGGGCAGCACGTTTCACTCCAGAATGCCTTGATAATCTTGAGATTTCATTGCAACCTGCACAGATTCAAGACACCCCGTGCCAGATGCAGCAAAGCAGCCCCAGGACATTACTGAACCTCCTCCATGTTTCACAGTTGGTACAGTGTTCTTTTCTTTATATGCTTCATTTTTGCATCTGCAAACATAGAGCTGATGTGACTTGCCAAAAAGCTCCAGCTTTGTCTCTTCTGTCCAAATGACATTCTCCCAGAAGCTTTGTGGCTTGTCAATATACATTTTGGCAAATTCCAGTCTTGCTTTTTTATGATTTGCTTTCAACAATGGTGTTGTCTCCCATTCAGTCCACTTTGGCTCAAACAGCGACGGATGATGCAATCTGACACTGATGTACCTTGACCTTGGAGTTCACCTCTAATCTCTTAGGAAGTTGTTCTGGGCTCTTTGGTTACTATTCGTATTATCAATTCAATTTGTCATCAATTTTCCTCTTTCGGCCACGTCCAGGGAGGTTGGCTACAGTCCTGTGGACCTTGAACTTCTGAATAATATGTGTAACTGTAGTCACAAGAACATCAAGCTGCTTGGAGATGGTCTTATAGCCTTTACCTTTAACATGCTTGTCAATAATTTTCTTTCTAATCTCCTGCGACAGCTCTCTCCTTACCTTTCTGTGGTCCATGTTCAGTATGGTACACATCATGATATCAAACAGCACAGTGATTACTTTTCACCCAGACTGACTGAATACACGTTTGAGGACACCTGTGATGCTAATTACAGGACACACCTTAGGTTAACATGTCCCTATGGTCAAATTATTTTCAATCTTCTCTAAGGGTACCATCATTTTTGTCCAGGCCAGTTACATTAGTTTGTTTTTTAAAATTATTCTGTTGAACCACAATTCTAAAGCAATGACTGATTTTCATTAGTTAATTTTCAGTACATTTTTATTATTACTTTTGTCAGTTATTTCAAGTTATTAAGTTATTTCAGTGACCATTGTGGGTTTTTCTGTCTTTAACAGAAGGGTACCAACAATTTTGTCCATGTGTGTGTGTGTGAGCAACACTCACTCAGAGGATGCCTCCACTATAGTTCAGCAGCTGAGGGTTTATGAAGAGTAATATCTATACAAACACTGCTATCAGCATCAGTATCTTTTTATTTGGGTGCTCATGTTGTTGTTTTTTTGGTGTATATTCAATCATCCAAGAGGTGTATGTATACATGATGGGCATAAAAATCAATACAGCTATTTTGTTGTCCAACAACATCATTACATGCTAATAAGCAGTTATGTATGCTATCATTGTGCACAAAGTACCATCATTTGAGTTTCTGTCACTTTTCAAAAAATGTCAGGTATCTAATTTCGAAGCAGAACTCTTGAGAATTTCTAATAAATGCATGGCTGATCTTTAATTAAGGTTCTTTAGTCACCTGTAAAGCTGGAAATCCTCTTGTGTGAACACATCCCCGATCTGATCCCCAAAGTACCTGCAGTCACACAATCACAGAGAGACAGTTCCGACCGTAGACAAAGCCAATCAGAGACACATGAGCAGACAGACAGAAACACAAGCACAAACGCGGCAGAAGGGGAAAAGAGAGCAGAGGAGATTGGATCTGTTAGCATAAATTAACATATCGCAGCACGGCACAGTGCATCATTGCCCAGACGGGTGTGCCACCCAGCCGTCCAAACACAGCAGATAGTGAACGTCTGACTGCTTCACATGAGGAAGTCCCCTGTGAGGGGTGAAGTGTGGGAAGCAGGGTGGGAGTGCTATCGTCATCACTTCCTGATTAAAATCTGCCACACGGTCCCTGAGGATTCCGTGTCAGCCACCTGCCCAGTGGGACGAGAGAGAGAACTGAAGGGAGAAATGAATGAAGGCAGGAGGTATGAGGGAGGGAGAGGGATAGAGAGGAACAGCTGATCCGAATAAAGCTGGGTTCTGCTGGCAGTGATGAATGAGGGTCGTATGGGTCACTGGACCTGAAGAAGACAGCTCACAGGGACCCACTTCAGTAAGATTAATGACTAACTGCATATTCTGGTTCTGCAAACGGTACATATAATGCAGAATGACATTCCTGCAGGCATAAAAATACTGTTGACCCAGACAGAGAAGAACACATAAAGGCAACATCTTTCCCACCTGTAGATGTTTACAAACTGCTTGCCCATTGACAACGCTCCAGAGTGCAGGTCCAGTATGGAAGCCTGCAGGGGTCAAAAGAAACAGATATTGGTGCAAATGACAAATCAGTTTGACACCGCTACATGCATGGCACTGTCACTGTTTCAGAGTTTAGCGCTGTTCCCTCGGCGGCCTTTCTGTGCAGCTTCACTCTGTCCTTTGCTTGTTATTGCTTGCTAACTCCTTTGGGACACTGCTCTGTTTTCCACAAGCCAGAAAATGAAAGTCATTTTCTCTGAAGCCCCTCCCGTTGCTTCCCCTCCCTTCACTTAAGTGTCTTAACACTCCATAAACAGTTCCTTTAATGGCTGAGGGCCTGGCCTGCTGCGGACGGAGAGCAGGGGGTAGGGCATGCCAGGGACAAGCAGACTTCAGCTCATCATGCTGGAGCTGTGCTTATTGTGCCAGTCTGCCTTCTAGTGTCAACAGAGGATCATTACAGCGGGGAGTCAGAAAGATATGAAGCACACAGTATGCTGCTAAGTTGTTTACAAATATGGGCTTTTTAGGCTGATACTAGTAATCCATATCTGACTCAGGTTTATTGGTGGTTTCTACGGTACAGCTGGCCTATCATATTTATTCTGACAATAAATCAGGTGCTATTTTTTATGTAGGGAAAGGAGACCTGTTGATGGGAATTAGAAACAGTGAATTACTCTGTTATCTCATAACGCTTTTGCACAACTTACTTTGTGTTTGAAGGACTGTATCAGTGATATGTATATGTTGTAGTCAGTATTGTACATACTTACTAGACTTGTGTGTTGTCAGTTCATCATACTTCACCAACAACCATGCCACGTTCAAAGTCACTTAAATCACCTTTCTTCCGCATTCTGCTACTTGATTTGAACTGAAGCAGGTCATTTTGACCATGTCTACATGCTTTAGTGCATTAAGTTGCTGCCATGTGATTGACTGATTAGCTATTTGCGTTAACAAGCAATTTAACAGGGATTGCTAATAACATGGCCGGTGAATGTATAGCATACATTTAAATTGATGGGTTCTTGTTTTGTTTTTAGATGGTCTTTTTTTAGGAGGCTTGTCCACCACTGCCTCTGATGTGTTCATTAGTTTGGGATATTGTGTGACTTCGGAACTGAACTAATGTGGCACCTACAGCAGTAAATTGCTTACCTTCTCTACCCTGTTACTTCTATCTGCTTTCACAAACTAGGAGCGTCCTGAACACCCTATGCCACTATAAATGTGTTCATACAATACAAATGCAGTGTTTTATTGAATCTTCCAAGCTAACACTTTTCTCACTCTGTATGTTTGCGCTGTCAGCGAACGCCATGTGTGGAGGTGAGAAGGGGGAGGACTTTGGCACTGTTAGCTATGTCACAGCTTTTTGCTATCAACTGGGTGGAATTTTCCATTAAAAAAAAAAAAAAAAAAAAACAGAAAAGAATGTAGATGGACCCATCCTTTAAAGAATAAGGCTGGTATTTTATATTCTGCTTATTATCAACAAATCCCATGAAAACACAAAAACCAACAATGAATGGATCCTGCTAACTGTGTTATCTGTGTATCAAAGCCTGATATATCTTCTTCCTCTGTGCCATAGCGCTCCACTGTTGTACAAAATTTACTAGAAAAACATCAATGAGCCATTCTTTTGCACTCGGTGACATGTTCCTTCATTACCATGAACACACACTGCAGTTTATTTTGAATTTGTGTGTGGTAATTCTTAAATGAACTATGTGTTACTCTGGAAGTCAGTCAGCAAAAATGTTTAATGAGGGGTAAAAACATGTAAAAACAATAAAAGCAAATGACCTATAAAGAGATAAACACTACAAAAAACAAGCAGCTTCTGATTAAATAAACACCATTCAGTCAAGCAAACATAGACCGGGTATGTTTTAATCCCTGCCTTCCTGTGAAATTATTCCAACAATTTAATTTGGCGGTATACTCACTCCTCCCTCTGACCCAGCCAGCGCCATCCCTCTCTCAGCCAGCCTGTGTGTCAGAGACAGAAGCATTCAGAATAATTCAGCTGCACTGCAGAGATATAAGACAGTGAATGGAGAAACGACGACATGAGACATGCTGCACTTTGTATGACACTGTTTACCTCCTGAGAACCTGAGCTTCCTCCCTCGTCACCACGCTGTCTGTGACCGCACGGCCACACTTCTGAGGGGTGCATCCTGATAGAGACACGTGAGAGGATTAGGAAAATAATAGCAGAATATCTTGGTGCAGTATTCTCTGGTTTTGGAGGATTTGTGCCCAGTAGCAGCGAGAAAAAGTGGCTAGAGGCAACACAAAGCGCAACGTAGGGAGTTTATTGGCATTCTGCTCATTAATGCCGCAAAATTAGGGCCTGCCCTCCAACTTCTTGACGGTTATAATTTATTACTCGAAGTCTGAGCCTCCCACTTTGTCTTCTTTACACACTGGAGATGCACAATTTGAATTCCCAGCAGCCTAAATGTTAATAAGACAAATTTCCAATTTGTTCTCTTCTTTTTTCTACCAAGGATAGTTTCAAAACTGGTTCAAGTTGTACAGAAATTAGGCAGTAAAGGTGGGGGAAAAATGTAGATGTAGATATAATTTAGACAGATAGATAGCTAGATAGATAGATAGATGGATAGACAGATCTTTTTTTCAAAATGTTAATTGATGTTTTTTTTTATGCCTGAGTCAATATAATTCAAATGCCGTGGTGGAAATAAGTTGGCGCTTTTACTGAGGTAATTTATGAGTTACCTGACATTATATCCGTTTCAAGAAAAACAAAGCCGAAGTGAAAGAGGAGACAACGATTGGTGGTCTGAGGACATGGACCTATAGCAACTGGAAGTCAACCAGCCCAGTACAAACTCCCCACTGGATTAGCAAACTTTCTGTTGCTGCCGTTACACTAGTCAGACCTTGTTCATGCTGTGAACCCCTTCGCTGCGGTTTTTGCCGGGGTAATTCAAGTTGCTCCATCTGTTACTGACTGTCCATGTCTGGACCTGCGGCCCACTCTACACCTAATGAATGGTCTCTTAGTGGCTGGGAGAAAGGTGGAGGAACTGCAGCATCCACTAGCTAGCTAATTCTTGCCTCACGTCTGGTCCATAGACCATATAAAAATATGGACATGGTCACCGTGATCACCATCTTGGCAGTGCCTGACTCTGCCAAACTCCCGGCCAATCAAAAATGGGCAAAAAGGCGAGTCAAATGAAGCCTGGTTGCTTAAAGACACCCACCTTGCTCAAAGCTGCTAAATTAGCTAAGGCTAACAAGCTAGGCTAACAAGCTACGCTACGTTGGCTAGCCCTGTGGTGTTGGTTGCACCCACTCATGCTCCCCCTTGGTGCCAGCTCCCTCACGAAACAAAATATCCAAAAGGCACAAACACAGCTGAGGTCAGGTTCAATGATTTGCGAATTAGCTGAGATGACACCTAGCAGACAGCCAGCGGCTAGTTATAAAAAAAATTCACCCCCCGTGTCATGAAATGGGAAATCAGCTATAAACGAATTCGGCAAGCGATTTGTGTATGCCGCCATCTTGCGGCGGCGCCATTGCTGCGGTGACATGTGTCAGTCATCAATTCATTATGCTGTCATTGTGAAGTGACTCTCTACAAAGACAGCATCATGAATAGCTGGATTGATGATGTTAGACAGTGGCCTCCGGTAACTGATGAAGGTATCTTAAATGAGTTCCGATTTAGAAATTAATCATTTGTTTGAGCGATAAGCAGGAAAGATTAGAGTAATAGGGAGATAATAGACACTGTGTAATATAACGTTAGCATACGTTACGTGTGCTGATGTTAGCAAGCCAGCAGCGTGACATTTAATCATTATGGACAGGCTACGTGACTAAAAACAACAGCAACACGTGTTTGTGTTTTGTTTTAGGTATTCTAGAATATTTTATTGAACGCCTGGCCTCCGATGACCAGAAAAACGTCAATTACAGGTCTCTGATTGAGGGTCAAAATTACCTGAGCTCTGGATGGGTCGGGCGAATTTTACACCACCTTTTAGATGACCATCACATCATATTGAAGGTGATCGCCTTCAATATGATGTGACGGTCACTTAGCCTGTCCATAATGATTAAATGTCATGCTGCTAGCTTGCTAACGTCAGCACACGTAACGTATGCTAACGTTATATTACACAGTGTTTAATGATACAGTCTATTATCTCCCTATTACTCTAATCTTTCCTGCTTATCACTCAAACAAATGATTAATTTCTAAATTAATATCGGTACTCATTTAAGATACCTTCATCAGTTACCGGAGGCCACTGTCTAACATCATCAATCCAGCTATTCATGATGCTGTCATTGTAGAGAGTCACTTCACAATGACAGCATAATGAATTGATGACTGACACGTCACCGCAGCAATGGCGCCGCCGCAAGATGGCGGCATACATAAATCGCTCGCCAAATTCGTCTATAGAGACCAAAACCATTTTTTGTACCAGGCTGTACACATGTTTATTTCTGCTGTAAAGTTGAGCATTTTAACATGGGGGTCTATGGGGATTGACTCGCTTTTGGAGCCTGCCTCAAGTGGCCATTCAACGAACTGCAGCTTTTGGCACTTCCGCATTGGCTTCACTTGTCATCTCTGGAGGTTGCCGCTTGGTCTGGTCTGATAAACAGAAGCTCCTTTTCCCCACCTCTTCAAGTCAGGAATTCAACGCCGTTTTGCCGCCTTGCCATTCTGTATAAAAGGTGCAACCATGGAATGGGGGGACCATCACATCATATTGAAGGTGTTATTGTTTATAAAGCACTGCCAATACGTATGTTATGTGTCACACTAGAGGCCAGCACTGTTGTGTTACATGTCACGCCCGTCACGCCTCTTTTGATTCCACAATGCTGGGATGCTGTCTAAATTCACACACTGGAGTGGAATGATGCAGCTAGTGTTTGGTTCTGTGTAAAAATGAAAATGCAAGAAGAAGGGACTTCGTAGCGGCCCTATAGCATGAGGTGAGAGGCAGGGTACACCAGACTATCACATCAGGTTGTCAGACTATCACAGGGCTGATACATAGAGATATATGACAGAAAATAAGGAAAAGCAATATACAGTAGGTTCCCTTTAAGTATTCCATGTCTGCGAAGGGTTTCTGAATTGGGATTGTTTTGTAAAACAACTAATTTCACATCCAAGGATAAACTTTTATGCAATGTTTTTATTTTTGAATTTCAGTATTGTCTTACTTTTACCTTAATTTGGGGAAAAACTACACTTTTCCCTTTATAGTCAAGCATGCCTCATTTCAACAAATAGTCATCACTGCTGCCTCTTTCCACTTAAAATTCTGCTCACTACTCCAACCACAGCCACTCTACATGGGTGTGGACACATCTCAGTGTAGGAAGCTGAGGTGTGTTTGAGAACTCTTGGCTTTTTAGCCTTGTATTTAAGTGCACACACAAACAAACTGGTTAGTATTTACTTACTTACTACTTCACTGCTCTTTTGGTTGCAGTTGGTCCACTGGTCAAATATATAGTAATATTATGCTGAGGTAGGCTTGTGCTATACTACCATCTAGTGGATTATTTCCACACTGTTTCAGAATCAGGAGAAAATGGTTAGAATTTAAGTTTTCAAGACTTTCTCCCCCTTTAATCTCCAGTTTTAGTGTTTTTATAATGATAATAATGATAATAGAATTCACAGAAATTAAAGATGATAGTGTCTGAGAAAACAATTGTAAATTAATCATGTGACACTACTGAAAGGACAAAGCAGAATCCAACACCAGGAACATGCCACTGGAGCACGGTATTTATCAAGTAGGCTAGGCTTTAATCTGTCTCAGTCTTGTTTACTTAGCAGAGAGGTGTCAGCTGATCGCCTCACACAGTACAGTGATCGGACCATAGCCCCACCTGGGTAGCGTTTGTAGTTGTCGTAGTCATCAGAGCACTGGATGGTGAAGACTCTGGGCTGGAGAGAGACCAGCTCACCCTGACGAACAAGTGTTTCTGTGATGTCACTGTCCAGTGAGATCACGTACAGCCACATAGCCACCACGCACACAGATAGAACGACCAGCAGCAAAGCCATAAGCCCTCTGGACCCTCTCCATGCAGATCCCTGCCGCAGCGCATTACCCCTGACCAAGACAGAAAAAAAGGTCAAGGTAATCAAGTTTATAATCCCTCTAAACAGGAGTATGTGTAAAGATGAAGTAGATGAAGTAGCTCAACTAATTTGACAAAAAATGATTAGTTATAATTTGTTTTTTAGAGGAAAACACCCAGATAGAGCACCCAATTATTGTGATGCTGATCTTTAGCTAATTTAGTGTCAGAATAAACAATAAACTACCAACCTGAGTCAGTTGAAACTTAAAGCCACAAGCTGTCATTGTGAGTGCATGAAAACTAGTTAGGAGACTAGTTAGAACACAGAGAAGTTGAAATAATTAGCTGAAAATAGATATGGACAAATTATCTAAATGGTTAGATCAAAGTAATTTATAAACAGTTGGAATAGTTATCTTAACCTAATGGACTGATAGGTAAAATAGCTTGCTAATCGTAACTGATAATAATAAGAAGTATTGGGTAAACTAACAGTTGAATTGTTTTAGTTAAAATTAACAGTAACTTCCTGCTGTTGTCAGACTTTACAACCAACACCACATATCAAAACTGGCGGTTATCATTCCTGCAATATCAGTATACAATAAACTGTGGATTATCTAATTTCCTTTGTGCAATGATGCACATTCAGCCATTCAGTCTATGTATTAATTACATTTTGCTTTTTCTTACTGTTTACTTATTTATGAATGTATCTTGCTTTTTTGTTTTTTTCTACTGATGCTTCTTGTTTTGTAGTGTATGCTTTGCTGCTGTAATGATGCATATTTCCTCACAGTGGGACTAATAAAGAATGATCTACCTATCCTAAAGGTCCAGTGTGTAGGATTTAGGGGAATATATTGGCAGAAATGAAATATAATAAGTGTGTTTTTTTTAGTGTCGGGGAAAAAAATGATTTTCTGCTTGCTTCAGTGTTTTTAAAGGTTTAAATCAACAGGTCAATTTGTTTTGGAGAGGAAGACACCTCTATGGATAACTCCGCGTAAAAACCCTCTAAATGTCTGGATCTTCAGTCATTAGAAAGAAAAAAGGTGAGCACACATCACCTGGTGCTGGGCTGGCGGCCCATTTCCAATGAGCCTATTATCGTCCTTGAAACACTGATTTGTAACATGAAACTGCTTTATTCAGTGTTTTTTAGCAGTTTCAATTACCTGTTCCTTTTGATTTTGAGATGAAGAGACCTCTGTAGGTGATTTTGCTCCTGGTAAAAACCCTCTGAAAAATAAGACTGAATTCTAACCGGGAGTAGTTTCAGCTGGTTGCAATTTGCAATCCTCGCAGCTAGATGCCACAAAATCGCCCTAAATCCTCCACGTTGCACGTTTAATTTTAACAATTTATTTTCCTCTTTTCCAATTTCTCGTTTTATTTTAAACTCAATAAAAGAAAAAAACTAACAAAATAAAAGACGCCTGGTACATTTGTTACAGGCGTATCAGTTTGTGGAACAGTTTTGAACAGTTAGAACAAGAGGCTGCACTGCAACATGCAAATCACTCCTTCTCATGGCTGCCTGCGCTTTGCCTGTCCTCGTGGCTGCAACTTGCGCTCTCTTCATCTACTTCATTGCCACTGCTGTACACAATTTAAAAACTACAACACCCATAATTCATGAAGGAACTGCTGCAGCCAATGTGCAGCCGGCGGGAGCTGCAGGACGACTCAACCACCATGATCAGTTTTTAATGTCTTATCAGGCAATAACTACTCCAGACTCTGCTCTAGTGTCATTTTTGGGACAATTGGGGCGGGATTCGGGACAACTGCTTGGATTAAACGTCTTGTCACCCTAGGTGCAAAGGAACTACAAAGAGACACAAAACAATCCAAAAAGAGAAAGAGACACAAATCAACTACAAAAAGATGCGAAGGAACTACAAAGAGACACAAACTGACTACAAAATGATGCAAAGGAACTACAAAGGCCCACCAAACAACCACAAGGAGACACAAAATGACTAATAAGAAACAAAATAAAAACCAAAGAGGTGCAAAACCTCCACAAAAACTCTGTGTCTTGCTCCTATGTAGGAGAGGTGGTGGGGCCTTTTGCATATCTATGCCCAGGGGCCCATTGTCTCATAATCCGCCTATGGGTACACTATCAACTCCAGTCATATTCAGCATTATGTTGAACAAAAAAAATTAAGTATTTATGTTCTTCTCTCTGAAGACTGTTACATCTACAGCAGTATTACTTTGACACTAATGTCATGATTTTAGCTAGGTCTTAGTTAGGGTGTCCCTCTCATTCAGCATGCAGACAGTACCTGGACCTGACTAGCACCCAGTCTCTCCTCTCACCCTGCTCAGCTTCACCCAGGCAGGACACTAGCAGCGTTTTATTCACTTACCTTTTAATTTTCTTCTCTATCTCTGCAGCATTGGAGCCCTGACTGTTTCTCATTCGCTGCAGTAGCGCCATTTTGACTCAAAACGTGTGCTGCGTAGCATTGACAGAACACCGTCATACACGGCCACTGACCATACCGCACACCCGCCAACAGCTTGTACCACCACCTGAATCCCTCTCCTCTTCCTGGTGGACGCGTATCCGCCAACCCATTGGCTCTCCGGAAGAGAAAGCAACGTTTTCATTGGACCACGTCCAGGTACAATTGAGTTCTTCTACCACGCACAGCTACGAAAACAGCCTAAAACATAGTCGTATCCTTGTCCTGTATTTGACAGTCTGTCAGTAGTGTCACAAACGTTTAACTCTTACAGCATGTAGCGTGCATTCTTCCATCCATTGCTCTGCCCACTGAGACTAAACTAATCGATTACCTATACTGCGTGTTTACATTGAAACGTTTGCGCTGGGAGCGTTTCTTGTGCAGAGGAAAAGTGACCTGCCTCACAACAGCATCCTTCCCAGAGTGCCAGTCCTCTCTGTTGTTCCATCTCTGGTCCTGGTTTGGTTTCTGCTGCCCTGGTGAGTAAAGCAAATGATCTAATGTTCATTCACAAACAAACACATGCACACCTGTAAATACTGTTGTCAATATGAGGCTGTTCATTCGTACAGTTTGTAACAGGCAGAATGAAGTGTCCACCTTGGCCTCAGGGAAAGAAACTGGTCCACCTGGATCTGAAAGGTGCCCCCCCAAGAGTTGAATACCTTCACAAAGTAAGCACACAGCAGCTTCCTCTGTGATCTGCTGCAGCGCACTGTCACTGTTTAAATATCACATTTGCTGTCCACTAATGTGTGTGTTTCATATCCTCAGCTGATCGAGCTGTTCTCTCAGCTGGGAGTCGATGGCCTGCTGGTGGAGTACGAGGATATGTTTCCTTATGAGGGAGAGCTGAGGCTGCTGCAGGCCACAGTACAGCCTGTTTACAGGTGCAGTTTTGGATGTAAACACCAGACACTGCCTATTCTATTCTTGATTTATGGGCTGGGTTGGAATTTAATGTACTATTTTATCTGCCTCATCATGCTGAGAGATCCCGTAATAAAATTATAATCCTTCCTGTGTGGGATAGAGATAAAACTTAATGTGCCATAAAACGCTTTGGTTCAGGAAGTTAAATGAGTTTTGTCTGCTTACTGTGTGCTCTGTTTCCAGCCGAGAGGAGGTACTATATATGCAGGAATTTGCCAAATCAAAGGGCATGGAGGTCATCCCACTTGTGCAGACATTTGGTCACATGGAGGTGAGGCAAACATCCCTTCTTGCTAGGGGCATAACCGGGGGGTGGCTTCTGGGGCTCCAGCCCAGCATCTATGCTGTTCGCTGAAGGAATCTAATATAACTGAGTAAATGTTCTTCTATTGGCCCTTATATTCAAGTCAGAGTATTGAAGACCACATTTGATGAGCATTGTTGGAGATCCTTGATTTGCTATTAGAGACTTTAGACTTTAGAGTTAGACTTAGAGCAGCCCAGATTATAATGGTATAGTATTATTATTTATTATGTATTATTGTATATCATGTTATAGTATGTAGCAGCATGGTGGTGCAGTGGTAAAGCATTGTGGCCTCACAGCAAGAGGGTTTGTGTCAGCATTGGTTTTCTCCAGGTACTATGGCTTCCTCCCACTGTCGAAAGACATGCAGATTAGGTTAATTGGTAACTCTAAACTGTCTGTCCCATTTTCATGACCTTCTTGAGGGACTTTCCTCAAATTTGGTACAAATGTTAGCTTAGACTCAGGGATGAACTGATTTTGGTGGTCAAAGGTCAAGGTCACTGGGACCTTGCGTCTGTGTCATTCTCATAAATGTGATATCTCAAGAGCACCTTGAGGGAATTTCCTCAAATTTGGCACAAACGTCCACTTGGACTCAATAGTGAGCTGATTAGATATTGGTGGTCAAAGATCACCATGACATTGCATCTGTTTCATTCTTGTAAAAGCAAAATTTTAAGAAGGCCTTGAGGGAATTTCCTCAAATTTGGCACAAACGTTCACTTGAACTCAAAAATGAACTGATTAGATCTTGGTGGTCAAAGATCAAGCTCACTGTGATCTCATAAAACATGTTTTGATCGTAACTCAAGAACTTATGCCTAATTATGACAAAATTTTAAACATATATCTCATAGAATAAAACAAAGTGATGACATTTTATATCCAAAAGGTCAAAGGTCAACTGTGACATCATAATGTTCTTCAGAAACACTTTTCTGGCCATTATTCAACGTCATATCTCAAGAACAGAAGGGGTGACATTTGGTCAGATACTGAATTGGTGACTCTAATCTTGGGTGCCCACCTTTAAACTGTGCTGATTGTATAGATCTTCTGTGCTGCCAGGTTGAAGATGTGTGTGAAGCATCCATGTTTTAGAATTTGTAGCTTCTTTGCAGCAACATCCATATTTGAAGCATTGCCAACTGTCAACCCCCCTAGATTGGAGCCCTTAATGTTTACAGTTTTTGGCTCCACCCCTGCTGCTCTCCTGTTTAGAACAGTTTGTAATGACTACAAATGTCCAATTTTGAGATAGTGTTTGTTGTTTATCAGTGGCCACCCCTTCTCTGTTACAGTTTGTGCTGAAGCATCGACCCATGTGGAGCCTGAGAGAGGTGTCACACTGTGTGGGCACCCTGAATCCCCACAAAGAGGAAGGGGTGAGGCTGGTGGTGGAGATGCTGAGGCAGGTGGTGGAGCTGCACCCAGGCTTAAATACACTGCACATTGGAGCAGATGAGGTAAAGGATTAGTCTTTTATCTAATGTTACGATAGAAAAAGTATCATCATTTCATGTCCTCATCTTAAATTCCTCAAGGTGTACATGCTTGGCGAGGGGGAGGAGTCCAAACTGTGGTTGGCCTCACCTGGACATACAGTGGAGCAACTTTTCCTGAGTCATGTGACCAAGGTGGCACAGGCCGTCAAGAAGGCGTGGCCACACATGACCATCATAATGTGGGATGATATGATGAGAGGCATGAGCCAGGACACACTAAAAGGTGAGGAAGAAATACAATTGGTTCCCAATAAACCAGGTGATATTTGAAATTCAAAGAGAGTGGAGAGTTACTCAGCTGCATCAAATCAGGCTGATGATGTCAGAAAATTACATCACTTTACTGTAATGCAGCAGGAAAAGACAACACTCCTTATATTACAATATCCAAATCCAAAATCTAAGATGATATCTAGTCTCATATCACAATATGAATATATCACCCAGCTGAAATTGAGTATTTCTATTTCATGCTGCTTTGTATATGTACTCAACTCAAAGTTTATACTTTTTGCTCCACTACATTTTTTCTGACCCCTATAGTCACCAGTTACATTTCAAATTAGGGTTTTAAATTCGTTACCAACTTATTAACAGTAAATTGCTACTTAAGCATTAAATCCACTAATACAATATATAATAGTGTATCACTTCCCATTTTTTCTGCATTGAGCACCCCTATTGTTGATATTTAAAGTACACTTTGCCAATAATATCTATGCATTTTTACCTGCAGTACCAGTTTCAGTCCAGTACTTTTACATGTAGCATCTTTACAGTGCAGTATTGCTACTTTTACTCAAAGTTGCTGTATATGCGACTTTAGAAACATATCTGTGATTAAAATCTGAGCTGGGATTGTCTGCACATGACTCTCAACGTGGATGCAGCAGATCCAGCAGCTAGCAGCTAATGGTGCTAATAGCACAAATAATGCTAACAACAAGCAACGGTGCTGACAGAGCCAATGGTGTTTACCTGTGGGGGAACTGGAGGGTGGGTGTTAGCTTTTGTGTCAATGCCATCATTGTTATCAGCATTACCTGTGTGTAAAGGCTGTATGAGTGCAGTGCAGAGGGGTGGTGGTTAGCTAGCCAGTGGGTTTCACACACAGGGATTCACATGCACGAGCGGCTGCACCATCTGCCATGTCAAGAATACAGAGGCTCAGATTACAACACTCACAAAGGTAGCATGACTTCATTCTCTGCATAGGACGGTATTACTCCACTATATATTGACATAGCAAATAGTGATTTGCTGCTATTTTAATGTTCTGAATCTCACATACAGAACCTTAGAGGATCAATATACCTTCTCCACCCCTGAGTGTAAATGACTGGATAAAAACAGTAATAGAAGCTACAATAATAAGAATCCAAAATTGGATTTATTTGTATAGAAAGAACAAATATAAAAATTAAACTTACCCTTATTTTTGTTGAAGACTTGCTGGGACCATCTCAAGGATCACTGGTGGTCTTAAGATCCCGTCTTTAGAACCACAGCTGTTTTTTTGGTTTGTGTGCACTCCCACTTGTCTTGATTTTACCTTTTTCATTATGAGTCCTTTCTTTTTGTTATCCACGTGACAGCTAGTGGACTAGTGGGACTTGTACAGCCCATGCTGTGGGACTACACCCCTGATCTGAATGTGGACACAACAGGTAGGCCCCATATACTGTGGAAATTAGTATTTGAACATGAAGCTCTTATACATCACCAAATAGCATGCAACATGTGCATAGCTTTGTTAGTAGTGATGTACATCTCTAACTGTGTTGTCCAGTGTCTCTGCTGGAGAAGTACTGCAGTGCCGGCATGTCAGATGTGTGGGCAGCCAGCTCCTTTAAAGGCTCCACCAGTGTTTACACCTGTGTGCCCAGCACACAGAGACATGTGGATAATCATGTGCAGTGGCTGAAAGTGGCTGCTTCTATATCTGCTGGTGTACACCTGCAGGGCATCGCCATCACAGGCTGGCAAAGGTAAGTATTGGGGGAATTTCTAATTTTCTTTCACATTCTTTTTGTGGATCTGTGCAGTGCATGAATGTAAATCAGGACAGTGCTAATAAAGAGCATAGGGTCTATAATAAAGCTGCCCTTTGGTGGCTCCAACACTGGAATGTGTTAGGGTCTGAAGGACTTCATTAGCCAGAAATCACGTGATGCTACATTTGCAATGAACACAGAGCTTTTTCCACAATCCTCGATTTTCATGCTTTTAGGTATGACCACCTGTCAGTGCTGTGTGAGCTGATTCATGTGGCCCTCCCATCACTAGCAGCCTGTCTCCAGACACTCAGTCATGGTCAGTTCAGTGCTGAGGCTCAGAGCAAAGTAACTGAGAGGCTGGGTATCGCCTCGGTAGAGGTAGAGGCCATGGGGAGGTAAGGTCCGACAGTGTTGTATGATCTACGCTGTCACTGCATAGTTTGTATCAGTATGCTAACAGGATTTTGTTCCATGTGGTCTTTAGCACCTCTGCAGGTGAATCGCTGTTCCCAGGGAGGAGGCTGGCAGACTTAACTGTGGAGCTCAACGCACTGTTGAACTCAGAGGACATACGATTTTTTGAAAACAACATGTGAGTTATGGGCAGCGATCACAAGATCATATTTCCAATGTCACATTTACCTTAAAGGGCCAGTGTGTAAAATGGGTTGAAAACAGTGACATCAGTGGTCAAATTCTAGATTGCAGGGCTCACTCGCTCACCCCTCCCGTCGGGTAAATGACGGTGTCCTCATAGGGACAAAAAGCCTTGCGCAGACACGAGTTTTTCAGGAGTAGGTCTATCTAGCGACGAGGTGAATATTTATTTAGAAATCTAAACCATGTTATGATATTGTAATAAATCACTCACAAGCAGGAGACCAGAGTAGCGTTCAGGAAAAAGGCCAGTTTATTTGAGCACTCCAAAAACTCCGGTAACACTCCAGGGGGTAAAAGACTCCGTCCCAAACTCTGACTCTTCTAGCGTAACACACACACACTTCATACACACATACTCGCTTACAGTACCCAGCGGGGCAGCCCTCCCCTCTCTGCTCCACCAATCTCCAGCCCGCGCACTGACTGACAGCGTAGCCGGTAAACAGTGCTCAGCTGTTTATTTAGCCTAGCAATATCTCCGGACTATAGTAGCTGCAATGGACGACTTTGAACGCGATTTTGAAGAGTTTCTTGTAGCGGACACAGATCCAGAGCCATACCTGTTTGAGCCGGAGCATACAGATGAGGAACTCTATGTGTTGGATGCTGAGCGGGCGAGAAGAGAGGCTGAATCCTCCGCTCCCATTTTGCTGCACAGAATGGGATTCGGTGCTACTGCTACCATCGTTGGGGAGATATATTATCAGGAGGAAAAGTGCTGCAGAGAGTGCATCACAAGGAGTGAAGTTGCGTCTTCTTTTCCTCGCAGATGACGGTTCGGGTTCATTCTCTCCTGTTGCGTGGTAAGTGTGGTCCATTGGCAAACTTTGTAACTAAAAAAACTTTTCACTACCCTCTATCGACGAACTACTAACACTCTCTGCTGTTTCCTCCTCCTTCTTCCTTCCTTCCGCTGTCTTCGTTGGTTTATTTATACACGCGAAACGCGTTCTTTGGCAGGCTGGATTGTCCGCTCAGGCTGCGGTACATACATGGCGGCGCAAGATGGCGACCTCTCTAAAGTAAGGCCCTTGCTATATATATATATATATATATATAAAAGCATAATTATAAGGCTACGAAAACCAAACGAATTTTATTTTATAGCGATTATACACTTATATAAACATATTAATGGGTAGAATATTCAGATTCAGATTCAGATTTGACAATAAACCATGCCAAATATTACACACTGGCCCTTTAAAAGAATCGTTTGAAATTTTCCCTTTCTTGCCAAGTTAGAGTTAGATGAGAAGATCGATAACACTCTCATGTCTGTACATTAAATGCGAAGATACAGCCAACAGCTAGTTAGCTTAGCTTAGCATTAAGACTTAAAACTACAGTAAACAGCTAGTCTCAAGCATGCCCTCAAAGAGTGGAGCAGGAGGAAACTGAGAGTGCATTTTAGCACTCTCAGTTTCTACGTCTTGGAGTAAATGGGTTAGATGCCTGAAATAAGGTCTGTGGCTAATACAAGTTTAAAAGACTTTCGCATTTTGTCCGCCAAAAAATTCACCAGTTAATACCCCATTTTGAAGCTTTTATGCGTCTTAAAAAAGACAGTTGCTAACAAGAAGCTTAAAGAGACTACAGAACATCATCACGCCGAACATGGCTTTATAGCTGTGTTGTGGGGAGATGGTAAGTCATGCAACTATAGTATAGTTCATTTATAGCCTAATGTTAGGCATCAAATATCATAAAAGTAGTGTTCATTTTATCTTGCTGAACAAATCCTGTAAGTATCATAAATGTTTTTTTTTACCACAGAGCTTATTTTCTGCAGTAATCACATAGAGAAATCCCATCGACCTTTGGCTGAAGAAAGCAGGGCAATGCTAACTTGTGGAGTAGCCTCCAAAAAATATGTCATCCCTGCAGCGCTCTGTGCAGCAGTGATACTCAACTTACGGCCCAGAGGCCAAATCTGGCCTCTGGTAGGGTGCTGGGTGCCCCCCAACCATGTCTAATTCACAATAAAAATAAATTGAGTCACACTGGTAGTTGGTTTTGTGCTTTTAGTATACATAAGGTTCCAGAGTGCATCAAAGCATCCTCCAGTGGAGGATCCCCTGCACCCCTTAACAGAGGTCCAAGCGAAGCCCCTAATGCCCTAAAATCCTAGAAACGGCCCTGAGTACATGGATGGGGCTGCTGCAACTGGCCCCTGGTCCCTGTCACTTTGGAAAAGTGGACCCCAAGCAAAGCAAGCTGAGTATCCCTGCAATACAGGTCTAGGGTTGCAGCGATATACTGTTATCAAGGTACACTGTGATTAAAAAAGAAGTTGGCGGTTATCATACCATATACATTTGATATTAAAAAAAAATGCAACTGGACAGAGAATCTCTTTATTTTATTTATTTTTAAAGGGGAGACTTTTTACACACATTAACAAAATGGGTTCAAGTTTCAGTTATAGTAATAAAATGTCCGTTTCCTTTCCTTAAAGGGTCATCTTGACTGATAATAAAAACCATTGCAGCCCTATATGGGACTAAGAAATAGTCCAACACATAACCCTCCATAAAGTTGTCAAAAAGAAATGAGAGATCATGTATTAACTGCTGAGCTTTAGAGCTTTTGGAAGAGCCAGGCCAGCTGTTAGCCCTCGTCCTCTTTGTGCTAGGCTAAGCTAATTGGCTGCTGGCTGTAGCTTCATATTTCGAGTACAGACATCAGAGTATTATCAATCTTATCATCTAACTCTCAGCAAGAAAGCGAATAAGTATATTTCCCAAAATGTCCAACTATTCCTTTAACCTTTGCAGACACAGAAAAAATGTTTATTTCTATACCCTGTAAATAACTAACAGCTGAATAACTGTATGCCTGAGGTACTGTAGGTTTGTAAGAGGATGGTTCAGCCCCTACCACCGACAGGGGAAAATGGTGTCCCCGCTCATCACCATGCAGATTCACAGCCAAGCATCAACGTGAGAATAATTTGTTATATTACAGCAACACTCTCTGCACACTGCTTTGCCTCCCTGAAATTTCTTAAACACTCTGTTAACAGGAACCCCTTCTGATTTTGTCTCCTCAGGTATTTGACAGTGTTACAAGAGAAGGTGGCAGCAGTGAGAGAGGAGATGGTGCGTCTGTACCCAGAGTCAACAGCCCAGGAGTGGATAGAGGAACACGTCAGCCCTGTAGTGGCTCCTTTACTGAGGATAACAGAGGAGATCAGCGCCTGTGTGAATGAGATGGTGCCGTAGAATATTCTGCCAGCTCAGAATCAAATTGCTTTTTTGATCAATGCTAACACTGGTCTCTTACTTTTTTGCAACCAGCACTCAACTGTGATTTTATGTGTGAATTTGCACTTAACCAAGAGCCAACTCTTGTATGGAAATTGCACTCACTGTAGCAAAGAAAGGACATAACATTAAAAGAAGGCTTTGGGTTTACATAGAAAATAATTTTATATAATTCCTCCAAATGTATCAAAGTAAACAAAGACAATAAAATCAACCAACAAAGAAATCTTCTCATTTTCTTTCAAGCAAAGCTCAACACAGTCACCATCAGCCAGTTAACCACCATGATTTCATTCACTTTTCAGAAAAAGCAAAACAAAACAAAAAAAAAAAAAAACCCAGTGTGTCCAGAGGACCAAAGTGTTTGCCTGAGATTCAGTCTTTGGTTCACACAAAAATACAAATGTTAAAAGACAGAACAAGAAGAAGCCGAAGCATTTCACATATAATTAACTCTTATTGAGCCGTGAAAATCACTCATGCCTGATTACAGTTTGCAGATGCGTTCCTCCAGATTGCAGACTGAGTATGAATAAACATGCAAAAGGTGATTATCAACTGGGTGGCCCTGAAAACTGTGGGAAAAGCACTTTCCATTGACTTAAACACAAACACTTATTAGAGTTCAGTAGGAAGGCACAGTAAATCTGTAATCTGGAGTGTATTCCCAAATAGTAATTAGATCAAAAGGTCATGATAATCATTTACAGAGAGATGAAAGACTCTTATCGTCATATTCCCTGGAACTGTTTTAGAAAACTTTGATTAGGCTACGAAACATTTAACCGATTGACTTTTCAATCCCAGTTCACATGAAAATTAAAATAAAAAATATTTTACTTAGTTTCCCAAGGCTGCCATAACCCCACCTGACATATCCAAAAAATACAAGGAAGTCTGTGAGGAGAAACTGAAAGAGGCTACTGTATATCCCTGGTGTTTCATGCACATGCTGACACTATAACATGTAGCGAGGGCATCACTGAAGCTGCACCCACTGTAATGCCGTAGCAATGCCATAATGCCCCTTAATTAATCCACCAAAAGTAACAGCAGGGTTACAAGTCACAGAGAGATCAGAGTTTGTCTGCTTCATTTTCTGAATCACTGCTGTTGTCCAAAGAATCTTCTTCCTCTTCCTCGTCTCCTCCATATTCTGCCTCTTCCTCCCGCTGCCTGCGTCGCTGCAGCTCCTCCAGCCCCAGGAAGCGCTTCAGCAATGCAGCCACGGCCTCCACATCACTAATGGGTAACATACGGGACAGAGGGAGAACAGGGATTACTCAACTGTGTTTTCTTGTGTTAGTTCTACAGAGCATATTTGTTTGGCTTTGTTCTTCCAGATATTGTTTGGCTTCAATACTAAAAATAATGTATTAATCAAACAATATGAAGACTTTGAATCTAGACTTAAATGGTAAGTTTGGTATTTTTAACCTGGGTCATATTTTCCCATGTTTTTGTGTCTATGTGACAAATGGGAACATTTTTGGAGCAAGACAGCTGCAGCTGCGAAATTGGCTGCAATGTAACTACTGCAGCAAATGAGCATCATCAATTTACGGCCACTGAAAGTGCTTGTTTTTGCCATTGACAGGCTCAGATTGTTATTATAAGTGTCTGACAACATTATGGAAAGGATTCCGACAGAGATAGACCTTTATGTTAAAGAGTAATTTCCTTTTTGTTCAACATAGCCAAACCCACCAGACTCCATTTGTTTCAGGATGATAAAAAATTACTGCTTATTTAAATGGAGTCTGGTGGGTTTGCCGATGGTGATTTCTGTTTCTGGTTAAACAAAAAGGATCTAACTCTTGAAGAAAAAGGTCGATCACTGTAGGGATCCTTTCCATAATGTTGTAATGACACTTGAAATAATAATCTGAGCCTGTCAGTGGCAAAAAAAGCACTTTTAGTGGACGGAAGTTGATGGTGCACAAATGCCCCAAGTGGTTACTGTGCACCCTGTTTCAGGGCCGCCATCTGCAGCCCTCTCACTCAATACTGGACCAGTTTCAAAAATTGTTGTTCCCATTAGTCATTTAGAGACAAAAACATGGCAAAATAGGGTCCAAGTTGAGAAAATTCCTAACTTACCCTTTAACAACTGAGTCATGATGACATGAGCTGATATAGTGAGCGAGTTGGCAAGCATTACACACAGAGCAGACATGAAGCAACATTAGCATTCATTTTGACTCGTGTTTCTGGCCACCTGACGAATGTGAATTCAATAATCACTCTCTTTTTAGCTTGTGTCCACCAACTCCTGTGCAAAATATCTGGCTCTTTAGCTACTAAATGCTCCACTATGTACACCAGCTAGTTGCTTACTTTGTCTGTTGTTTGGTGTTGTGCAGGTAGTGTACAGAGGGTTTATGTGAGCTTTTTGACTAAGAAAAAAAACAAGGCTAATGAGAGCTGTGAGAGTGAACTAAAACAGTAAAACAATTAGCTCAAAGAGGCAGAGCAAACAGGAAATGCAATTTTAGGACTGAGGTGGTGGATGTGAATAAGGATTAGGACTTTCATGTATTGGAGTAGTTCACCAGAAGATACAAACCTGCGTCCTCCCAGTGTAGCACTCTGAGTCAGGGGGTAGGAGAAGCCTGCAGCCAGCCGCAGCATCAGCAAGTAGCCTCTCCCCAAATACCGGACCTTCTCTTCCTGGACGCAGATGTCACACAGCTGTGTCAGATCCAACACAACTAAGAGAGAGAACAGGACAAAAAAATTAAAATCTAAGATTCTGCACCTCCAAACATCAAGTGAGGACTACTAACCCGCTCTGTGGCGTTACTGACCTTTCTCTTGCCCCTTCTTCCATAACGTCAGGACCAAAGCATACAAGCTAAACGTCTTGAGCTCAATCAAGTTGTTGGTTTTGTCAAACACAGCCTCCTCCCATTCATCCATGTTCTGCATGGCGACAAACAGACAGCCTGTCACGTAGAAAAGCTTCCACAAGATGCTGTCTGCAAGATCCACACAGCACATAAAACAAAAGAAACAGACGGTGTTATGAGTTGCAGTAAGACATGTGGAAAATTATATTAAATCAGAAGTTGAAAATTGATAACAAGATTAGGTAAATTCAGTTTGTGAACCTGAGCTGTAGTATGCAGCTGCCAGCCCAACAGATGCTATGCCTGCAATTAAAATGAGAGGCTTGTTATTAGAGTTTTAATTACAGAGTTCGAAGATATTGAGGAGTGCATGGCTTAGTTTGTTAATATGTTTGTTTCATCATTTGAGTATAATTTTTTGCAAACACACTTACCGACAAGAAGAGACCAAGAACGAATGCCCGGAGATCTCTTCAGGTGGAGCAGGGTGGAGCTGTGCTCCTCTACTGTCATGTATCCCATCTGAACAGAGGCAAGAATAAGAATCTTGTACTTAACTTCACATACATCAAAAGCCTACTTCACATGAATATAATACGCCTACCTAACATGATAAGTTCAAAGTAAAAACAAAAATATACTTTAGGGGCCCTACAATTTAGGGCTAGGGGGGAAATATCAATACACCATAGTATTACTTAAAAAAAAGTCTTTGCTTCGTATAGATTAAAACACACACACACACACACACACACACACACCATGATCATTTCAATATATTTTTCAATGAAAATTAAAAAATTGATGCCAACATGACCCATCCCTCTAATAATGGAAATCATATCACATTTGGAAATATCAGTCAAAATAAACACAATTAGATATTTTATCCAAAAACATTCAGCTCTACTTGTTATAGGAGCAAAAGTGCAGCACTTCTAATAACACTAACTGCTTTATTGCCAAATGCTAACATCTGGTTAGCATCAGCTGTGCTCTGAGGAGGCATTTCAAGACATTGGATAAGTGGAGTCATTTTCACAACTCAAATGTATCTGAACTAAGCATCACTTATCCACTGTTATTAGGAAAGGCACCTGTATTTTTAATGACACACAATGACTCTGTCACGTTCAATGTACCAGTCAGCCAATGTTCAGCAGTCATCAGACTGATAGACAGTAAGTGGTTGTAAGACTTTACCAACAGTTTTAAGTATTTGAAGTAAATGTGAAAATAACCAACTATTAGAGATTGGAAAGGGTTGCTGATTCATTTTCATACAATAATTAGCATTTAGAGTAAAGTTCATTTTATACATCGTGAATGGTCTCTTAATTTTTTTTTATGGGTCCTTGAAAAGTCATGGAAACATTCTGAAATTTTGTCCATGACAATGTGTGGGAACCCTGGAATTTGCACCATTAAAGGACAATAGATGGCACTCTTATTGCCTTAGTGTATGTTCTGTTTCATCACCTGTGAGGAAACACTTCAAGACAGAGTCTCACTGTTTAAATGCAGTTCTGAGATCGTTATCATTTCAGTTTCTGTGTTGCATGTTTCTTTTTTTTTCATCAAATTAAACCCAGGCAGTGTTCTATCTTAGGAACAGCTGCTTGCACAAAGGGTTGGGAGTAATGGCGCTGGGGGCCCCCTAGCAGGTTAATTAAGACATGGTGTCCTGAAACAATGTCCCAGTTATTCAGGATAATCCAGATATGTTGACGACAACAGCAAGTTTTACTGGAAGTGTGCCTCTTCTTTTCTACTTAAAGAAAAAGTCCCAAAATAAAAACTTAAATATGTTGACACTATGATCTGAGGATTATCCAGAGTAACCAGGACATTGTTACTGGTGAGACACATTGCTGTTTTGACATTTTCCCCTTTGAGCAGCATAAATGAAAGTCTATTCACCTCCATTGTGTTGAGTGGATAGTCAGAAGTGGAGATCTAAATATCTCAGCAGAAACCCAAATATTTGCATGGCTTCAAATCACAAGAGGCAATGGAGTAAACGATATAACATTTTTTTGTGATTTGAGCAAAAGAGCTGACCCAAAAACAGATCCTCCTGCTGATGATGGTGATTGGCTGTGATGAGGAAGAAGTGCCCACACATCACTGTCCATAACACTCAACAGATCTGTATAAGGAAACCAACTATGAGACATTTTTTATCGCTTACCTTAAACTCTTCTTTCTTTCTGTAAATGTTCGCTTTGCAGATTTAGCTTAAGAGCATTTGCACGAGGAAACACATGTACTAAATTATAAGGAAGTTCAATTCATATTGTTGCAACAACTGTTCTGCATGGGTGACACTTCCTTCCTGGATCCGCCTGCGGTGATTGGACGGCTTCGCCGCCTTCAGAATAAAAGCTTGAAATGCATTAAATTAAGACAAAAGACGGCGTAGTCGCAAGTCTTTAGTTTTTCTTCAACACAATTGAATTTTCAAAAGAAAATTTATTTCGTTTTTTACTGAACTAGGGGTAACTTTACCATTATTTTGGCAATGTTCGTATCTATTTGGGAGATAATTTGAAAGTCCGAGCCTGGCCTGAAACACCCTGAAGAGCTTGCAGTATCTGGCGCAGGAGAAACTTACAGACCGATTTGGAGTTTTTAAGGCTATGCATTTTATAATTTGTTGATTATGTCGATTGACTGATTCAAAAGCACATATTTTTTATCCCTCACTGGTTTGACAAAAAAGTCAAAGCTACCGGAGCAGACCACTACTCCGTTTGCGCATGCGTCTTGATTAACCGGGGGTGCACAATGGAGGCAGACGTACATAGAGATGGCTGGCCCTTATACAAGGAGCAACGACGCCTTTGAAAGTACGAGTTTGTACATTATGAAATAACCGTCCAGGTTCAAGCCAGCAGTTGCGGTGACACCGTCCACAGAGGATTTAAGTTTAGCCTGCAGGAGTGCTGAGTAACTGCTGAGTTCACCTGTTGTGCTGTGTCAGTGCTGCTTTTTCTTTCACTGGTGGTTGCTCTTCTGACTGTCCTCTGCATTCTTCCATGCCATTGTCTGAGAGAGCCAGTGATATAGACACCGTCCGGTGAGTTACCTCAAAATTCGACCTTGTAATGTCAACACAGGGCCTGTTATGACACACACACTTAAACAGAGTGACTAACGTTATGTTACCCCACATCCTGAAAAGGGCCTGTAATGCAATAGCATAACTTTATGTTTAAATATCATAGTTAACTTACTGTAAGTTAATATAAAATTCGACGCAAGCTAGCTTTTGAGCTAATGTTAACGTTACACATAACTTCACAAATTAGTGACGCTTGTAGCCAGTCGGGGACATTATCGCGAGCTATTAGGGGCGGGAATCCGCAGAGGGCCTATGATATGATATTATCGCGATACATGAGTCACAATACTATACTACTGCGATTTTAAACGTGTTGCAATATGCTGAGTATTCCCATAACATACATTGCGACCTGTTTTTATAAGCACATTATGTACTCAAAGTAAAACTTTGCCAGCATCTCTTTTATCAAATAAGATAAAGGTTTAGGTCAGTTGATCTCACTTAAATCATTTTACTGCAGCAAATTATATCTAGTGGACTGAAAAAGTACTAGATTTTATTATTGCTGTAGGCTACCGAAAGTTTAATTTGTATTTGTAATAGGGCTGTCAAACGATTAATTTTTAATTGCGATTAATCACAGAATTACAATTGTTAATCCCGATTAATTTAGCATTGCAAAACAGTTTTGAAGTCCATATAAACACGGTAAAGTGTTTTGATAGTGCTACCATAGTGTTTTGAAGGTGAATCGAATTCAAAGAAATTTACTTTATAATCCTGACTTATAGATTTATTTATTTCAAATCAGTGCTGCACTGCTACAACAGTGTGGTGGAAAAGACAAAATAGCAGCACGTCATTAACCCTCTGAGGCCCACATACTGTAGACCCATTTTGGTCTTTTTTTAGGGGTAAACAGGGGATCTTTTAGTGGAGAAAGCAGCTTAACAGTATATGCTACATAGAAATGGTATCTATCCCCTGAAAGCTGGAAACCTGAGGATTATTTGAGATGCAGCTCAACACTGTGTCAAGTTTTTCTAGTCATAAATCTGTAATTAACACTGCATGCAGTTTGTGCTCAAAACTGTATGAGACTAACATAAAGTGGACATGTCTGTAAAGGGGAGACTCATGGGTACCCACAGCACTCAGAGGCCAAGGGACCTCTGTGAAACTGGCCATGCTGTTTTTCCCTTGGACAAAATTTAGCCTAACTTTGGAGTTTTATTTATCTTCCTTCCTGAGAAACTAGCATAACATGGTGGACACCACTGGATTCCTTAAGTCTAGTTTCATATGATACCAGTATCATCACTCTAGCTTTGAAAGTCAGCCATCTACAGCCTCTGAAAGACAGACAGTGGTGACAATAGCAGCATGCATTAATGTCTTTAAGAAAATAATGCGTCTTGTTCGGGCATTAATTGACGCAATAAACACTTTAAAAAACTTGCAGCCCTAATTTGTAATGTAAATGACTTTAATAGTTTGAAAAAAATCAATACTTGGCATCCTTTTATCTATATGATATTGCCACAAAAAACATCGCAATGCTATGTAGTATCAGTTTTTCCCCTACCCCCGTGAGCTATGATCAAATATTTACCCCAGAGTCAACATTTTTCATGTAATTACATAATGAGACTGAGACATAAGGGTTTCAACAAGATGGTACCTCCTGTGTTTATTGTGACGTAACAGCTGTTATGGCTGTTTTTGTTGGCACTGTGTATGTAATTAACGTAAGCCATTAAAATTTTAATGACAGGATACTATTTTGTGTTTATTGCCAGTTTCCCACCATTAGAGCTGTTGTGTTTATGATAAGCAGGCTGTCTGTGATAGGACAGACAGAGGAGGGTGGAGTTGACAAAACATTACACAGCAGTAGGCTGCAGGCATAGTCATCATGCCGGTGCATCAGAGGAAACATGCTGTGAGGAAATGATCAACACTGGGAAGCTAATGGTGCTGTTATATATTTGTTATATATCACCCTCAATTTCCAGATAACTGTCAAGGAAAATGTCAGAGGTCAACATACCAAAGCGGAAGGAGAAGTGTGAGAACTGCACAAAACAGGTGAATTTCTGAAGCTGTATCAAAGCGTTCTTACATATCAGTCGACTCTCAACATGTAGAGTTTGAAACTCTGTCCTGCTTTCAATCGTGAATTTAATTATTGATCTTTCACACGCAGTGCAACAAGAAACAGAGTGATGATGGTGCTAACTCACACCAGGAGAGAGAGATAGTCAATGGAGAGGTAATGTCTTGTTACTCACAAGTTTCATTCATTTTATTTTATTTTATTTTATTTTATGGATCTGACAAAAGGGGAACTTCACCTGGGAGTACTACTCAGATTGAAATCAGTTGTGTAATGTCATCTGCTGGAGGAGTTTTCTTAAGTCTGAAAAATGATTATTTTAACCCAGTTCAAAGCATGTGGGCATTTACAATGCATGGAAGGTTTAAGAAAAGATGTGATAAAGTTTCATTATGGGAAGTGTAGTATCCAGTCACTAAAAGTAAACATATTTAGACCTGTGTTGCTTCCATTTTGACTTTTTTTTTTTTTTTTCTTTTTTTTTCTTTTTTTTTTAATCTGTGTCTTGTGGGGAGTGGACTCTTCATGGAAGTCAAAAACTATGTTGCTGGAGTGCCCATTTAAAATAGAACATGTCTCTTTTTAAACCCTCCATCTAACACACTCCTGTTTTTTTTTTTTTCCTAAGATGCACGAAGAACCCCAGTTGCTGCTTAGTGCCTGCCTGTCCTGTGATGGCTGTCTATCAGAGGAGGAGAGCCTAAAAGTCTCTCAGCAGAGCCTGGAGGAAGTGCAGCGGGTTCTGGCACTCAATAAGGTACTCTGAAACCTAAGAATGTGAAGGAGTTGTCGCACTGCGTCACAGTGTTCTTCCTCTTTGAGCAATCCCTTACATTGTCCCAATTGTGTCTCTGTCCTTGTCAGAAGTGTGATGTGTCAAAGCACAAGGTGCTGGTGGCATCATTGTGTCCACAGTCTCTGCCTTTCTTTGCTGTCAAGTTTGGTGTGGACATCACTGAGGCTGCCCACAAACTCTGTGGCTTCCTCAAGAGTTTAGGTGAGCAAGTGTTATTTATATATTGCTGTGTAACTGTCACAACAAATAACATCTTGTAAAACCTTAACAAAGTATTAAAGCAATACTTCACCCCGCAAATGACCTTTTGTATATCACTTAGTTACCCCGTATCATGTTGAATTCATGAAGTGACTTTTTTTTTCTCACATGCCTCAATGGTAAATGATGAATCCAAAAAGTTGAGAAAATTCTTGATGAACTGAAGCCATGGGAGCTGTGTTTGAGAGCTGCAAAACAATATCAAAACATCTGTTAACACACTCACGCAATTCATGCAGTGTAATCCAGGCCTCATTTATCTAGTTAAATGCTCAGTACTTCCCAAAGGGACAGCCCTTTCTGACAGGAAAGTGAATATGTGAAATCTATCTGAAGTCTCTTCTAAGCCAGACTCTTTTGACAAAACAGTAATTTTACCTCCCTGAACACATGGGCTGCTGGTCAGTCTGTGGTTTGTGTGTGTGTTATTATGTGAGTTGGGTGAATCTTAACTAAGCTGTTAAAACACCAAAGTCACACAATACCACAAACAAACTGACTGTTTGGGCAGCAGTAGACCAGCAGCTCCTAAGGGTTAAATTACTGTCTTTGTCAGTGCAGTATGGCTTTGAAGAGATCTACTTTCACTTTCAGTAAAAGTCAAAGTCGCTCGGTAACTTTTACTGTCAGTTCAGTTCCCCGTTGGAAAGAGCTGTCTGTTTGGAAAGTACTGAGCATACCACTGGATTAATGAGACTTGGACTATGATGCACAAGTTGTGTGAGAGGTCATATAGTCTTGATGTTTTTAAACACAGCCCCTTGTGACTTCAACTCATCAAGAATTTTCTCTGTCGCTGGATTCTTTGTTCAGCAGAGGCATGCGAGGAAAAAAAAGTTTTCTTCATGAATTCAGCGTAACACAGAGTGAGAATTTCATATAAAATGATCTCTAGGGAGATGTAGTATTCCCCTAATACAGTCTTTAAGTGCTCTTTCATGTAGTTATATGAAGTCTTGTTACATTTTTCCCTGTAAAATGTCTGCATGACTATTGTGGGATTTATTAAGATCAGATCTAGGATGTCTACTCCCTGTTCCTCCGCATTTTGTGCCTCATAATGTTATTAGACTTATTCAGCT